CACACACACTCACACACATACACACACACACACACACACACACACACACACACACACACACACACATACACAAACACACACACACGCTCATATCACATCTTCACATGCACTCACTCACTCACACTCACACACACACACACACACACACACACACACACACACACACACACACACACACACACGCTCATATGCACATCTTCACATGCACTCTCTCACACTCACACACATACACACACACACACACACACACACGCTCATATGCACATCTTCACATGCACTCTCTCACACTCACACACATACACACACACACACACACACACACACACACACACACACGCTCATATGCACATCTTCACATGCACTCACTCACTCACACACACACACACACACACACACACACACACACTCACACACATACACACACACACACACACACACACACACACACACACACACACACACACACACACACACACACACACACACACACACACACACACACCTGCTTAGTTCTGACTCTGGACAGATATGACAGACCAGACCCACAGATGGGTTGGACCTCCTCTGGAGGCCCATTTTGGGGTCTGGATCTCCTTGGTTCTGGTCCGGATCTGAGAGTGTGATCTCAGAGAGAACCCAGTGGGTTCTGTTCTGTGAGATGGTGGTAGAACCACAGAATCGTTTAATCATCTCTGTTTAATCCTGTGAGACAGCTGAACTCTGCTGATCTGATCGGACCCTCAGTCTCGTCCCTAACGAGCGGTTCTGACGGGCCACCGGGTTCTTCATGAATCAGTAAAACTGTCATTGAAGAACACGTTTCATTTGCATGTCAAAGAGGCCAATCAGCTCTCATCTCGGTCCTGTTTGAAGCCGCATGTCGTCCTGAGCACCCTCTGGATCCTCTGGAGGGCAGAACTGGGTCTTTGAGTCTCATTATCTGGACCTTTTATCACCTGGGTTCTGACATGTTTAGATCACGGATCGACTCTTTGTTCCACTCACGGAGTGCCGCTGCTGCTCTTCATTTAGTTCAACAACACCAGCCCCCCCACCCCCCGCTCCTCATCAGGTCCTGATTTTTATTAAAACACACACACACACACGCACGCACGCACGCACGCACGCACGCACGCACGCACACACACACACACATCGCCACCATCAGACAGTCTGGGGTCACCTCACCTCTGATCTCTGAGTGCTTCTTCTGAAGATCGCTGAAAGTCCTGCTGTCCAGTTTGTCCTTCTTGTCTGTAGATGTCTCCATGTCTGGTTCTACGACCTGGGAGACAGGAGCACAGAACAAGCTGATGAAGGAACTCGAGGAGATGTGACTATGATCAGGTTGATAATCCAGCCTAGACAGAAGATCTGGGGCCTCATTTATCAAGCTTGCTTATGCACAAAACGGGGTCGGAAAACTGTGTAAGCAACTTTCCACACAAACTTTGGGATTTATGAAAGAAAACGTAGCGGAAAAATATTCGCAACTTTAAGTAGACTAAGGACCTGGCTTACACACACGTTGGACATGTAGAGCACCTGCAGTGCTGCTGCTGAGAAGGATAAAATTATGAAATCCTGCAGCATTATCACTTGTACTGCTTCGTTTTCACACAGAACAAGACCCCCCCCACATGCACACACACACGCACACACACACACACACAGCCTGAAGCGCAGAATACGGAATGCAGAATATCAGCAGAGGGACAGATTGAGACAGAATGTCATGCGTCTGTGACGGTGTGTGTGTGTCCTGTCACTGTGACCCGATTAATCATGCGCCCTGGCTACTTAGACAAACGGGATCTCTGTTTGGCTGACTGGTTAGCGTGTGTGACTTTTCACCCGGGAGTCTGGGGATTGAATCCTGATTGGAAATTTTTTTTTATATCCGCCACAGATCTCTCTGAAGAACTCAGCTTTGACGGCTTCAGCAACGCTGTGCCACTCCGTGGATTTTCTCTTGTTTGTTTTGCAAAGTACTTCCTTTCATTTCTCCACCTCATCCACAAGTACCTCAAATTCTGCTTCTGTGAAATAGCGCTTCCTTGATCTGCAGTCGTGATCGAAATGCTGCAAAAAGCCGCTTATGTATATGCATGAGATCCACAAGGCACTTTGCATTGAGCATTTATGGCAGAAAGTGGGCGTGGTGAGGGCGGGATGTGACAGAAATGCAGCTGAGAACCTTTCTTGTTAGTCACAGATTTATGAAGCGGAGATTACGTGCAGCTGTGCGTACTCCATGTTTGATAGATTACAGATTCATAAATCAGAGACCAACGAGAATGTTTCTCAGCTGCATTTTAGTCACATCCCGCCCTCACCACACCCACTTACTGCCATAAATAGTCAATGCAAAGTGCCTTGTGGATCTCATGCATATACATAAGCCGGCTGTTGCAGCGCTCCGCCAATCACTATGGCAACCGTAGATCAAGGAAGCACAATTTCACAAGCAGAAATGGCGGGTACCTGTGGTGAGGTAGAGAAATGAAAGGAAGTACTTTGCAAATCAAATAATGAAAATCCACGGAGTGGCACAGCGTTGCTGAAGCCATCAATGCTGTGAATTCTTCAGAGAGATCTGTGGCGGATATAAAAAAATGGTCCGATTGGGATTAGATCCCCAGACTCTCAGGTGAGAGTCACACACGCTAACTAGTCAGCCAAACGGAGATCTCACTTGTCCAAGTAGCCAGAGTGCATGATCAATCGGGTCACAGTGACAGGACACACACACGGTCACAGACGCATGACATTCTGTCTCAATCCGTCCCCCCTGCTGATATTCTGCAGTCCGTATTCTGCGCTTCAGGCTGTGTGTGTGTGTGTGTGTGTGTGGGGGGGGGGGGGGGGGGGGGGGGGGGGGGGTCTTGTTCTGTGTGAAAACGAAGCAGTACAAGTGATAATGCTGCAGGATTTCATAATTTTATCCTTCTCAGCAGCAGCTCTGCAGGTGCTCTCCACGTCCAACATGTGTGTAAGCCAGGTCCTTAGTCAACTTAAAGTTGCGCACATTTTTCCGCTACGTTTTCATTCATAAATCCCAAAGTTTGTGTGGAAAGTTGCTAACGCAGTTTTCCGACCCCGTTTTGTGCGTAAGCAAGCTTGATAAATGAGGCCCCAGGTCTTTAGCTAGACGCTGAAACTTATTGTAATCTGCGAAGAACTTGATTGGTTCAGTTTTATATCGACTGTAGAGGAAACGTTATTATAAAGCTAAAGGACCCAAAAGGTCAAAGGTTAGAGGAGGTAACTCTCACGTCACACCTCTAACTTCTCCCGCTGACAGATGTGTGAGCGGTTGGGTTCCTGTACTTGTCGACGGTAAAAACTTTAGCAGGTTTTTCTCCCTTCCCGGTTACCGTGGTTACCAGAGAGCGACCCTGGGCCACCCGCTTGCTACAGCCTTGCTCATGTCAGGCAGAAAGGGACATAACTATTCTGAAATGAATATAAATATAACATTTAAATTCCAGTTCTGCTTAATGAACATTGTGATCATGACAAAAAGAGGAGACAGCTTCCAGCTTTGATCTGCTTTAATTGATTTCTCTGTTTTATTGAACACATCACGAGCCAGCACCCTAATCAATCCGTCGGACTCATCGTGTCATTTTAGGTACCCCCCCCCCCCCCCCGGCCGCCTCCTCATGACTCCTCAATAACAGCTTCAGTGTGACCTCTGACCCCTGACACACAAGCTGACAGAATCCTCAACCCGCTCTGGTTCTGCAGTGAGATGGTGTCCCCCGGCATGAACAGAACCACAGGCTGGAACCTCACTGAGCATTTCCTCCTGCTAAACAAACAAATGGTTCTGTCTGAACCCAACAGGTCACGGTAGAACCACGGAGAATCAGTCACGTCCTCGCAGCAGCTCTGCTTTCCAGGAACCAGGATTTATGGGCCGGCCAGATCCGGAACCTGTTCTCCTCTGACTAATGGCCGTGGTGCAGATGGAGCCAGGTAAGCGCCACCCTGATACTAGAGAGCAGCTGGGACTGGATACAGAACCAAACCTGGAGCAGAACTCAGACGGGTTCTGAGCCCGTTATCTGGGTGGGCCAGGTTCAGAGTATGGCTGTGCTCGCCTCTCATCTCTACTCCACCTGAGATCTTCATCAGAACCCGACCTCCTCAGGGTCATCCGGAGGTCAGAGATCCGGATCTGGACCAGAACCATGAAGTACACCAACATGCTTATGGTTCTGATGCTTCAGGTTGCTGGTTTGATTCTCTCTGAGTCTAACTTTAAACCATCACGTTAAATCTGACCTTTGACCCCAGGGGTTACTTTATTTAATCTCTCTCTGATGAGCAGCAGCTTAGACCTCTGACCTTTGGACCGGTGCCACCTGTTCTGAACATTAGTGAGTTTTCTTCTTGCAGCAGAGTTCTGATTACCGACCCGCTCCACAGCTGCTGGTACCAGACAGGTAATCAGACTACTTCAGACCCTGGTTCGGAACCAGTATTTAGTCCAGTTCTGCTGTTGGGGCTCAGATGAGATGTACAGAAACCTCACGTAACCAGATGACCCTTGACCCGAACAGAACCCTAGCAGACTTTTACCCTCTGACCTGACAACAAAATCATATTTATTTATTATTTATTGCTCTGAGTCATGATAACGTCAAACCAGAGGCATTTTATGAGTGTTTTATTTACATTTTCATCTAAAACCAGTCAGAATAGAGACAGGATCAGTGTGTGTGTGTGTGTGTGTGTGCTTGCGTGCGTGCGTGCGCGTGCGTGTGTGTGTGCAAGCGCGCACGTTGGTTTGAATGTTTAATTGTTAAATACATATAATTTGTTTTAAAAATAATCCTTTATAACATTTAAACAGTAGTAATAATAAATGTATAAAGGTATTAACATTATTATTATTATTATAAAGTAATAAATCTAATCAAAATCTAATTTAATTGTTATGAGACATTTAGTCTGATAATGAAAATTAAAAAATATAAAGAAAATCTTACTAATAAAACATTTAATGTGATATATATTTTTATTATACATTAAACAAAATAAAAATATTTATAATTCGAGATTAAACATGATTAATAATCACAGACTGTATGAATCCAAACTAACATGGAAACTTAAATATTTAGCCTTGTTCAAATCCCCTAAATACCCCCCCCCCCCCCCCCCCAACACACACACACACACACACACACACACACTAGGAACCATGCGGAGCGATGATCAGTGAGGTTCCATTTGTTCTGTGGTAGAGAAGATAGTGGGGAGGGGGGTCCTCTGGGCCTAGAACGGTTCTGATGTTCTAACGGGACTCCCTGACAGGAGGCTCAGAGCAGGATGAAAGTGATGCTCCATCACAGGTTAACACACACACACACACACACACACACACACACACTAGGAACCATGCGGAGCGATGATCAGTGAGGTTCCATTTGTTCTGTGGTAGAGAAGATAGTGGGGAGGGGGGTCCTCTGGTCCTAGAACGGTTCTGATGTTCTAACGGGACTCCCTGACAGGAGGCTCAGAGCAGGATGAAAGTGATGCTCCATCACAGGTTAACACACACACACACACACACACACACACACACACACACACACGTATGTGTAAATCAGGGACAGACTCTAAAGGCTGGAGATAAAAATCTGAATAAAACTAGAGAAAGAGTTTAAATAGAAGGAAACAGAAGCAGCAGAGATTACGGCGACCGGGTCCATGATTCACACACTAGACATATGGGGTAAAATAAAAATCAGTAAATGTTTAAAAACCTAGCAATAATAATAATAATCATCATAATAATAATAATAATAATAATAATAATAATAATAATAATGTTAAAGCTGAAGGAGAATTAATCAGTAAATGTTTAATTAAAAGCAGAACCAAGACACAAGGTGTCGGTCTTTGTGATTTAATTAATGAAAATACAAATATGGAGTTTGAAGTCAAGATAGATTTAGTGTTTCAAATGTCAGATAAAAAAATCTTCTTTTAATAAAAACTTTCAATCATATTTAATAAATATCAGAATCATTTACTGAATCATTTACTGACACTCACTGTTCTATAAACATGAAGGGAATGTTTAAAACTCAGTGTGTTCAATTTACAAATTATTTTATTTGTTTATCAGCTGATTTGAATAACTGGTAATACTGGGATCTAAATTATTTATGTGTTTGACAAATCTCCCAAAATATTCGATTTATCTATCTAGAAGTCCTTGTCTGTATTAAATAATAAATAATAGCAATAATAAATAGTATCATAATAATAATTATAACAACAATAATTAATAATAATAATAATAATGTTTAGGTGATTATTTTTACTATTAGTAGTTGTACTAGTGTTATGATTACTACTAATAATAATATTTATTCATTTTATTTTATCATTATTATTATTAGTAGTAGTAGTAAAAGTTGTTGTTTTATTATTACTACTAATAATCTTAATTATAAATTAATTATTATTTATTTCATTTTTTAATATTATTACCATTGTTATTGTGGAGAAACTTCTCGAATTCTATTGAAATAAAAAAAATCCTGCCTAATTCCTAATTAGAGATTAAATTATAACTCACCCAACGACTCCTCTGGCTCCACGTTCTGGTTCTGGATCCCCAAAACTTTTTTCTGCCAGTGACAAAAAGTCTGAAATCCACCAGAGCTCCGAGCAGAGTTCTGGTTTTGTTGGTTGAAAAGTTCTAAGTGCTCAACCTCCTGAAGGGAGGAAGTTCTGACCTCCAGGAGGAGGAGCCAGTGGAGGAGGAGGGTCCAAACAGACAGGAGGAGTGGAAGTTTTCTCCAGGATGCTGTGTGTGTGTGTGTGTGTGTGTGTGTGTGTGTGTGTGTGTGTGTGTGTGTGTGTGTGTGTGTGTGTGTGTGTGTGTGTGTGTGTGTGTGTGTGTGTGTGTTAGACTGTACATACATTTGTGTGTGTGTGTGTGTGTGTGTGTGTGTGTGTGTGTTCTACTCTTCATCCCAGTGTGATTCTGCCCTCTAGTGTTGGGACAGTGGAACATGGATCTGAGATATTCTCTGTGGGAAGGGGAGGAGCCATCTGAACCACACTGCAACACTCGCTAGAGTGCTGGCAAAATGTGAAATAAAGTGCTCGTGTTTGTAAAAGTACACTCATTTGATTCCAATATTTAATAACAAATCAACAAACAAACAAAAACACAGGCAGGCTTTGTTCTTGTTTTCAGGATTCAAATCTAATCCAACTTTATCACAACAGCGACACAGAGCAGAGAAATAAGTAATCAGAAATAAAATACTATAAATCCATAAATGCTTGTCACAACCCAGCCAGAATCAACGAGTAGAACCTGGCTGCAGACATCAGCTGGCGTGTCACTGGAAAGAACTTTCAAGTGAGAACAAAAAAGACCTCGGCCGGAAGTTGGTCTTTTTTTTTTGGCGGCCGCCACATTGTTTTTGTTTCAACCATGCTGGGTGGGTTTCAAAGAGGAAAGGTAAGGATGAAATTAACTAATGTTTGTAACCGTTCTTAGTTCTTAAATGTAGGCACTGTAGCTTTGAAAGCTTTGCCAGAGAATTATTGCAAAGGCACCGCGTTTCATAGCTAATTGTATCAATATTAACACGCAGTCTTAAGACTAATGCAGGGAGTTCACAAGCTAACACAAAAGCTACATCAATAAAGCAATCAGCAAAGTAGCTTAGCATTAACTTGGCTATTAGATTTTTCTGGTCTCCCTGTTTGTTAAAACAGTTAAAGTAATAATATTAACTTTACATATAATTGAGATATGATATAAAGACCACAATTTCTCATACTGACTTGACTGAAATGTTATTAATAACCTTTTTTTTATTAAAAAGCTTAGATTTTCAGAAATTTGTAAGTGGTTTCAATCACTAGTCTTCATAGGAGGCTGAAGTTATTTATTTATTTGTTTGTATTTATTCATTGATCACATTTTACAGTTGTTTGCATTTGCAATAACATACATTTAAGAGTTGTATACGAAAATAAAACAGACAGAAAGACGAAAATAAAACAGACACAAAGATAGCATAAAAGAAAAAAAGAAAAATATACAAACATAACACTTAGGGATCTGCTGAGTCTAGTTTGAAATGATGAAATAAACTGATAGTCTTGGTTAATTTGTTGTTCTTCTTTTTCAATTTTTCAATGCTGTTCCAATATTTCATAAGGTCTGTAATTTTGAAGTTATAAAAGGAGAGAATGCTTTTCTGAAAAATCATTTTATGTAAATAATATTTAGCTAAACAATGATCAAATTAATTATATATTTTTCATTGGATGATAGATGAGGGTTAGTAACAATAAGGAGTATTTCAAATTTGCTTAAAAAATATCTTTTTGTAGCTTTATGGAAATATATTTTTGTAGATGGAACCAAAATAATGTTACATGAAAACAATCAACAAAAATATGCTCAATAGTTTCTCCCTTACAACCACAAAAAGTACAGATGTCAGAAACATTTGGAAAAAAAATACAGATGTTTGCTTTTGATGGGTAATATCTGTGTACAATTTTGAACAAGACTTATTTTGTCTTATTCACAATAACGTATTGAGGTAGCAGAAAGATCCTGTTCCATAGTTTTGTATTCATTAAAGTCCATCAGTGTTTACATATCGGTGTTGATACAGGCTCAGTTACTTTTCTAATAACAGAATTATTACATTTCTTATCTGTAATTAAGATCCCAGAAATAGATGGGAGCTCTGACTGCTGCAGATAAGGTAATGTTTGATTGTATGGTCTTTGCTAAAGAAAAGATACTAACAGGGATAGATTTAATGACTATGTTACTCTTCTTGTGAAGTCTTAATATTATATTTTCTATGACGTCTTTGTGAGATAATATTTCACCATTAGTATTTATAGATTATTCACAGTGTTTACATTACTTAATGACCAATTTTGTAGAAAGTGTTTTGTTTTTATGTACTATATATATATATTGTTCCAAATAATACAAATGTGAGGAGAGAAGTTGTGTTTAAAGATAAGTATCCAATATACTAATGATTGTTTATGAAAATTACTTAATTTTATTGGGAGTTGTCCTTCTGAGAAAGGACATATTAACAAAAAGTTAAGTCCACCAAGAGCATTAAGTAAATTATTTGGGATAATATTCCACATGCTGCTGCGAACCGGTTCCGCCGTCACATTCCCGCAGAAACTGGTTGATCACACCGGGGCCAGACTACTAGCATGTGGTTTTACTACCACAATGACCTCAGAAGCGAAAACGCTTTTAAAAGGGAGGGAGGACTCCTAACTGTTGCTGCAGGCGTGTTGTGTGAGAGTGCAGTGCAGTTATACTGGTTAATATATTTTTGGGTTCAGTTGCTTTCATGTGGCTTAATGTGAGTCTATTTGGGATCATTGGAATGATCAGCAGCATTTCTTGATGTGACTTTATGGCAGTTGCCCAGGGCATCATCGCAAGGAGGATGGCATTCATTAACTTTTGTTTTATTTGGTATTTTTTCAGTCATTTTTGGAAATAGTGATTAATTTTGATTAATTCACAGCCTATGTTTAATTACATTTAAAAATTAGTTGTTTGACATCCCCAATTATAATAAATGTCTACAGATGAGATCAAACAAAACAGATGAGAATTGCCCTTAAAGAGCAAGTCACCCAAATAAACTTTTTTTTGCTGATAAACTAAATAAACGAGTGTCCAATCGTGCTGCAGACACGTGTCAATAATTTGGCACTTCAGTGCATCTTAGTTAAAATTTAAATATTCTTCCTAAAACTGGCAGTGTTGTGCCGTTGTCAGGTAAAAACTCTGCACTGTATTTTAATTTAATCTGCCACCGCTATTGGCTAAGAGGTATGCTATGATGTAAACTGGTACATTATGATGTCACAATGCTGTCGTGAGCCTGAGTGTGTATGTATTTGTTAGCGGCTCCGCCCTCTCGGTCTGCCAGGCAGCAGCATGTGTTGCATTTTTCAAACATGAAGTGGGAGTGGAGTTAGACTCTGGTAGGGGCTGACTTGCTCTTTAAGCTGTTTAACTTGGACCAAGCATTTTAGGTCACAGATAGGTGTAGCTTAGGGTCTCTGTCTATACACCTTATAAGACAATTTAGGTGATGGCATGTTGTTTTTCTGCTATTGAACTGTTTTCTAATAATGTGTTTAATAAAGTGAAGGAAGGAGAGAAGTAACGTTTCCCTAGCAGTTTTTAAAAATGTCCCCATGTAATCCGATTAATCGATTAATCGTGTCGAGACCCCATCCGATTCATCGATTATCCAAATAATCGTTTGCTGCAGCCCTATTTTGTTTTATGCTGTTGAGATAGATTAAATTTGATAAGAATAGTTTTATGATCTGTCATAATAGTGGGACTTATTTTCACTTCAGAGACCTGTTTATGGAGGTTGTTGGAGAACAGCCAGAAGTCAATTCGGGAACAGCGCGATAGATCTTTATTATTCCATGTGTATTGTTTCGCTGTTGGGTTATGATGTCGCCAAATGTCCATTAAGTTTAATCTTTTGCTAAATTTGATAAGATTGTTTTCCCCATCTCTACATTTAGAATATCTAGAGGGGTGTCTGTCTAGTTCTTGAGACCATACCATATTCCAATCTCCTCCCAAAATGATCTTGGCTGAAGGGTATTTACAGGTAAGAGAGTTAATAACATTTTCAGTCTCAGTTAATAAATAACAGTTTACAGAGTCTGAGTTATACCCGTAGTTGTTCCCTAATAGGAAAATATGTGCATTAAACTCTGTTATCAAAAATATGAAGTGACCTTTAATATCAATTTTTTTATCTAATATTTTTCCATCAAATTTGTCCTTTAATATAATGACTCCAGCAGACCTATTGGATCCATGAGAAAACCAAGTGTCTTTCCCCCACTGGTTGTTCCAGAGTGTTTCATCCTCTAAGCAAGAGTGACTTTCTTGAAGAAAAATAGTTTTTGCCTCCTTGCAGAACAAGAAAAATGCTTTTCTTTTTACAATATTTCGCAGACCCCTGGTGTTTATCGAAATGAAAGTAAGCTCCAGAAATAAGACTTAAGAGAAACTCACAATATTTCCTAAAGAACGTCAACTGAACAAAACGACTCCTATATTAGGTGTTTGACCCTTTAGCCTTGTTAAATAAAACATCTTGTGTAACAGATGAATTGCTTTGGAAAACTATTCAGCGTAGAAATAACAATTGAGCATATGTGAAGAAACATTTGGGATATACTTGCATTCTAAACAGAGTCAAAAACTATTTACTATTATTGAGAGGAATACAGATTTATCACAAATCACTGTTGGGAACTCAATCCAAGTATTTCCTAAGAGCTAGGATGTGAAATACAGTCAATCAGGACCAATCCCTACGCAGTTCTTTTTTTTATGATTCAGTTCATTTTTCAGATGACAGGTGGATTTCCTTACCATTTATGAAACCTTTGACTCCCACAGAGTAAGCTTTGCTCCCATCTTTGCGTGCTCTTTCGATGAGGGGCCACAGCGCCGCTCTCTTCTCTTTATCTTCTTTAGTCAAGTCTTCTCCAAAACGAAGCTTTATCTCGCGTAGATAAGCGTTGTTTTTGGCAGCTCTCTAGGCCTCATCCCTGATGAAGCGAAAGGCGAACAGGATGATGATACTGCAGTTTTTGCTGTTTGCTCGTTTCCCCAGCC